TCAATTTCCTTTCAGTTTTCAGGGGTTGACCAATGAATTTTTGAGAAATTTTCACCAGAAGCAGACCACCCCTAAAATGAAAAAATGTACCAGTCCTATGGTTTTTTTATGGTGTACTATTTACGACAAACATTTCTTTCTCTCTTTTGCCTCCCTCCAGGCGACGCAACGACACGACGGGACGGCACGACGGCTCCCTTGCGTCGTGCCGTCGGGTCGCACCGTCGCCTTCTTGCCATTACGTTTGTACACACACGACGCCTCGCGTCGTACCGTCGTGCTGTCTCAGGTATTTTCCATGTTGCATTTTTCCCGCCTAAACGTCGTCCCTTCCGTTGCGTCGAACAGTCGTGCATCGCGTCGTACGTCGTGTCGTGCATCGCGTCGTCTATTACATCGCCTGAAGCACGACGCATCGCACGACACGACGCACGACGCGTCGTGTGCTGTCTCCCTTTGTTTCTTGGTTTTATAGAGGGCGCCTTTGCTGATTTCTTTCATTTCCGCCCCGGTACTTGAATAGTAGGGTACAGTCAACTAATTCAAGCCCCATTGAAAACAATCTAAAATCGGCACTGTTCAGGGCCCAATAACATGCTTACCAACATCCATGAGATTGCTAAAACACAAATAAAATTATTGTCTGGTCCCTAATTTTTCGATTTCTTTTCAATTTATTGTGGGCTAACCAATTACATTTTTAATTATTCCCACAAAACAAAATCACTCCCAAAAAGTGATTTTTCCGAAGTCTGATCGCAGCCATTTTTCACGTGGCAACCTTCTCGGGCACTTAGGACCATTTTTCAGTTGTAGTTTTTAGCCATTCTGCTCTCATAGGATAGCTCAAAGACCCAAGATCCTGGCAACGATTTACACAATCTCACCATTTGAATAGTGGACTGCATGCACCCAGTACATGGCATTCGCTCTTTGTACGCTGCTGCCATGAGCCTGAACTGACAGCTTTTGAAATATTCTCCAATCGTATAGTATAGATGGTAGAAGAACTAACCAACATCATGCCCCACACGGAAAAAACTGCCAGATCGAAGCTCTGCATGTCGATGGCAGTAGCGTACAAAGAGCGAATAGGTAGCAGGTCTTGTTTCTGTTATTGTTTTTTTTTTTTTCGTGGTTACCGTTTGCTTTCATTACG